AATGTGCATATTCGTGGGGTGCCTCGTGATGCTTTATACACACATGTACTACACATGCGAGCATGGCAATCGGGTCAGGGTGCTGAGCACACCCGAGGTCTCAAACACTTAGCACTCCTTCGTGTTGGAAATGTTCCGTGTTCTCTTTTTAGCTATTTGAAAGATATATTCTTGTTAATTACAGACATCCCACAGTGGTACAGATCACTCGATTGTGCTCCTCCAGTTTAGCTGTGCTCCTTTAACAACTCTCTCCCCTCCTGCTCCTCCCAGACTCTAGAATCTTCTGCTCTAATTTCTACTTTGATGAAATCAGCTTAGAGGTTCCACCTATGAGGGAGACCACCAGGTGGAAACTTTCTGCTCCTGGCTTGTTTCACTTAACATAATGCCCTCCAGTTCCATCCATGTTGGAAGCATTATTTTTTTAAAAAAATAAAAATGCATAACTCCACGTACAGGTACTTTTCTGTGTGAAAACCCAGTGAGCCTTACTGTGGAAACAAAGATTTTCATGATTACTTGTGGTCTCTCTATGGAGTATTGTACATATTCCTCTACATTTTAGGAGTCTTGTTTTTATAAAATGAGTCACACTGATAACTCTTGTAGAACACTGTGTAAGTGAGTGGAACTTCTTTGCTGGTGTCCATAAATGACTCAGTGAATGAATTTTATGTGTGGTCTCTCATTTTATTTATTCCTAAGTAGTCTCTCCAACAGTGGGCACATCTTATAGTTTGGCATAAATCATTGTTTATGTTAGCTATCTACTATACTGGTAGGACTGTATCTAGTCTGGTTTATATCTAGGGATTAGCAAAAGTAGCCTCTTGGAAGACTGGTTGGGCATAAAATTCTAGATTGATGGCCCCCTTCTCTTAGAATTCTCTATATTATTTTCCAAGCTGTATTTGCTGTCAAAGAGATGTCTGCTTCCTGCATAACTGTTGCGGGATAATTTTTTTCTCCCTGATTTTAAAGACTTTCTCCTATCAATGGTTGGCTTTACCAACAGCTGCATTTAAACTGATTTATTTTCTCTGCAATTAGTGAATTTAAGGATTTTTGTCTTCAACAATTATGAATAAATTCTCAAGCACTCTTTTCTGAGTGTTTTCTTCTGGAATGCCTAGTCAGTGTATGCTGACCTTCTCATTCCATCTGGATCACATTTTTCATTTTTATCTTCTTTAGTTCCCTTTTTAATTATGTTTTTAAACTAAATGTTTAGTATACGTAATACATTTTAAATTTCTGTGACTATATGTTTTACTTCCGGAATTTCTCTTTATTCATTTTTGATACTGCCTCCTGTTCTCTCTCATTATAATTTTCTTTCTTTCCTTTTTTTTTTTTTTGAGACAGAGCCTCAAGCTGTCCCCCTGGGTAGAGTGCTATGACATCACAGCTCACAGCAGCCTCCAACTCCTGGGCTCAAGCGAGTCTCCTGCCTCTGCCTCCCAAGTAGCTGGGACCACAGGCGCCCACCACAATGCCCGGCTATTTTTTGGTTGCAGCCATCATTGTTGTTTGGCGGGCCTGGGCTAGATTCAAACCCGCCACCTTAGGCGTATGTGGCTGGTGCCTTAGCCACTTGAGCCACAGGCGCCGAGCCTCATTATAATTTTCATTTTTAATTTACTCAATGATTCTAAACATACCCACTTTATGGTTTCTTCATATTGTATGATCACCTAAAATAAATGAAACCGCTCATCCTCTTGCGCGCTGATCTATATACCTCATGTGATTCATTAACTCACATGGTTAATAATTTTTACTGGGAACACATTTTTTTAGCGTGTTTTTGTTTTCTCCAGAAGGCCCACACATTCTTGGGTGTGGCTATTCGCCAAGGCTTCCTAGGCAAGGAAGGTCCAAGAAACTGGTCCTTCCAGTTTCCATTTTTACTTTTTCGAGATTCCCATATAACATTCCCATAAATTTCATTAAAATTTACATCCATACCTGTGTGTGGCACAGCCTTGCCTCTGATTTCTCAGGAGAACATTTTTATTTCTGCACAAAATCCAATGCAAAGATGAACTTCCTTGTTGGTTTCCCTTACTGACAGGTAGTTTTCTACTCCCCATGAAACAGAGAAGGTGGTGCTTGCAAGTTTTCACTGTTAGATGTTAGAGCTGCTTCAGTTCTGGCCCACTGCGTAACAAAGGCCTTAACACACCTTCCCCCGCCCCTATGTAGCGATTAACATCCCAGCTTCAAGCCATAAGAACCTATGTCCTTGCCCCAAATCATTTTGTGCAGTTGAGGCTTCCTTGTAGAACTCAGTTTCCTCTCTAATTCCTGCAAGTCTGAATTTCTGTTTCACTTCAGGATCGATTTTGTAACTATAGTTCTTTTATCTTTATTTTACCCAGCATTCATATGCATTTATAGCATGACCGTGGTTGGCATCGGAGATGATGCCATGCTATCGGCAACTGAAGTCCACTATTTATATAGCAGGTGTAACAAATTTTGTTTAGAAAAGAATATGGGGGCAGCACCTATGGCTCAAAAGAGTAGGGTGCTGGCCCCATATGCCGGAGGTGGCAGGTTCAAACCCAGCCCTGGCCAAAAACTGCAAAAGAAAAAAGAAAAACCAGGAAGAATTTGGCACTTTGCTATACAAGAAAAAACTTAGAACATCAAAGGTCTAGTCCAATGCTCTTATATCGATGAAGAAAGAAGACCCAGGGAAATGAAGAGTCTGTCAGAGGTCACTCTCCCATCTTGCTCCCTGCCCTCTCCTACTCTTTCTCTCTCCCCTTCCTTTATTTCTTCCATTCATGAAATATATTTTAAATTCAATGGCTTGAGATCTTTAGTAGATAAAGGTTGTATTGGCCAAATGGGAGGAATATCTCATATAATAGGTATCTCATATCTGAATATAACAGTCACACCGAAAGTTCAGAGTAGCGTAAGTGATGTGCTTTTTCATTGAAAACTTTTTTTTGAGACAGAGCCTCAAGCTGTTGCCCTGGGTAGAGTGCCCTGGTATCACAGCTCACAGCAACCTTCAACTCCTGGGCTCAAGCAATTCTCCTGCCTCTGCTTCCCTAGTAGCTGGGATTATAGGTGCCCGCCACAATGCCCAGCTATTTTTTGGTTGCAGCCATCATTGTTGTTTGGCAGCCCAGGCTGGATTCGAACCTGCCAGCTTAGGGGTATGTGGCTGACGCCTTAGCCGCTTGAGCCACAGGCGCCGAGCCTCATTGAAAACTTATACAGGAGGATGTCACCACTCGGTTTATAAAGAGCTTGATTTTCTCTATAAAGAATATATGGCAACCACATTTCTCTGTAGAACAATTTTGAGTACTTTGAGGTGGGTGGATCACCTGAGCTCAGGAGTTTGAGATGAGACACTGTCTCTACCAAAAATAGAAAAACTAGCCGGGCATTGTGGTGGAGACCTGTGCTCCCAGCTACTTGGGAGGCTGAGGCAAGAGGATCACTTGAGCCCAGGAGTTTGAGGTTGCTGTGAACTATGATGATGCCATGGCACTCTACCGGGAAGACAGAGTGAGATTCTGTCTCAAAAAAAAAAAAAAAAAGAAAGAAAGAAAGAAAGAAAAAGAAAAGGAAAAAGATATATTTGTGGATTCAAATTGTTACTTTTTTTGTGTAGCTCTGACTATAACAATGTGAGCCAACTATAGTTACAATTATTAATATCTATTTTATTAATTAACTTATTTGTTTTTTTGAGACAGAGTCTCACTCTGTTCCCTTGGATAGAGTGCCGTGGTATCATAGCTCACAGCAACCTCAAACAAACTCATGGGCTTGAGCAATTCTCCTGCCTCAGCGGTGAGACTACAAGTGCCCACCACAATGCCCAGCTACGTTTTCTTTATTTAGTAGAGACAGGGTCTCACTCTTGCTCAGGCTGGTCTCCAACTCCTGAGCTCAGGCAATCCACTCACCTTGGCCTCCCCAAGTGCTAGGATTACAGGTGTGAGCCACCTCACCCAGACTACAATTATTAATATTTACACCACAGAAGTTAAATGAATGACTCTATTGTTGGAGACTATACCCTATAATCACATTAAAAAAAAAAAAAACTTGCAGAAACCTAGTGACAACTCCTGTTGTTACCTTTGGACCCCTATTTCTCGTTTATACCTGATTCACCTGTCATGCTTTCCAATTCTTTCTTTGCCTTCCTGCGTTAACAAAGGCAACCCTGTTTCTTTTAAAGCTAATTGCCCCAATGAAGTGTTGGGTTGTTAAGAAAAGTCAACAGACCATAAAGGGACCGAAGGAACTGATAGAGCTTCAAAGGCTTTTGTTTCTTTCATCCCCCACACTCGGCACCATCATAAAGGTGGCAGTCCTTTCTTTCTAAGGATAAAAAAGCCCTTCTCTGCTTTATTAGCAGTTTTAGGTCAACCTGAGGTGAGTAGGGAATTTATCAGAAGCACTGAGACTCGCAAAAGTAGATAATGGGAGGTGACTACTCTGCATAAGCCTAGGATCAAAGTTCTGGAGACAAGTCATTTTTATTTTTATTTTATTATTTTTTTGACAAGTCATTTTTAAACTATAAAAGAGCCTTCAAATGGTGTCAGAGTCCTGAGTGTCCCAGACAGACCTGAACAGAAACTCCAGTCTGGTAGATATATGCTCATTATGGCTGACAGTGGCCGTGTTTGCATCACCATAGACTGAGCACGTGCTGTGAGCCAGACAACCTGCCAAATGCTCCACATGCACTATTTTGCCTAATCCTCCCAACAAACCCAAGGAGAGGCATGTTCCCATTTTACAGACTGGAAAACTGAGGTTCAGAGACATAAAAACTGGTTACCCAGGTAGTGAGTGTGGTGGAGCTAAGATTCAATCCATTGTCTGCCTGATGCCAAAGCCCACACTCCTACCTTTGACCATGAACCTGCCTCACACACGCGGACTTTAAACTCCTGTGCACTTTACCTGTAGGGCTTTGTTATAAGGAACTCCTTCTCTGCTTAGAAGTTACTTACCTAAATAATCTGAGATAATCTGCAAGTTGAGGGATATCAGTAATGTCCTCCTGAGGAAAAACAGATAACATTTCATAAGCAGGAACTTCAGAAGTGCTGCTGATACTCTGAACTTGCATTTGTCACATGTGGCTGTTTAAATTTGAACCAGTTCAAATTAAATACAATGAAAAACTCAGTTACTACATCAGCCACCTTTCCAGTAGTTCCCTTAGGGGGGATTGGGCAAAGGGTTAGTTGTTGAATTGGTGGTGACTTGGGTGATACTTGAATACTAATTTGTTAAGCTGTGAATTTATGTGTCTTTCACTTTTCTGGATCATACAAATGAAAGAGAAAAAGAGATGAAAGAAATTGACCAACATTCCCTGTGCCTCCCATACAAGTTAAATGTCTGAGGTAGAAATGACCACTTTTGCGTTATCAACAAGTTTTACACGAGAATGGGTAACTCTAGCTACATCTGGGTCACTGATTAAGCTCGGAGAAGGAACCATGTTCAAAGTTCATCTGTAATGTGGGTTTCGACCTGAAGAGCCTGTTACTTAGTGCCACGTAAAAATACTGAAGGAGGGCAGAGGGGATTTTTCCTTTATTTTAAGAAGAATCACTTTCCTGTCGTATTTATTCAGGAAAGCAAGCAAAAGAGAACTCTAGTTTCCTGGGGCTCAAGTCTCATCTTTGCAGTGTCCTGGCATTTAGTTGGTATTTGTTCTTGTGTGACACCAGTTTCCTATTTTAAAACATGTCATGATAAGAGCACACACTTTGAAGTCATAAGAATAGAGTGAGTCATTCTTATCCAGTATTATTTAGATCCAATGATGAGGACCCACCTCTCTGAGTCAATGTGATTACATTAATAATTACTCCCACGACTGAAGAAGTTAAACAAAAGCGGGGCACTGAATGAGGGAATTAAACAGGAGAGGCATTCCAGTTACAAAGCTGACATTTAGCCACCTTTCACAGATAAGGAGAAAGAGATGATAAAACAGTTTAAATTGTTATTTCTTTGTTTTGCTGGAAAGATTTTTTTATTTCCTAAAGTCAGAATGTTTACGAACTTTTTACAATGTCCCAGCAAAAGGCCCTTGCTTCTATCAAGCTTGTCCTGGCGAAATGTATGACAAAGTATATAAACAGATAATAAGGTGTCAGGTCTGTAAAACATTTTCTCTGTTCTCACAGGTGCGCCATGCAGCCACACATTAGTTAGGGGACCAATTCCCCATTTCATGCCAGTGAAGTGGAGCCCTCTGGAGCCTTTCCCTCACCCCATGCCGGCTTATCCCCAAGAAGAAATACACACGTATTGTCATTAGTAGAAACAAAGTATAGTCCCTAACACCCTAACAGAGCCAGTCTCAGGAAAGCTGGTCAGTCCCTGCTATGTTGAAGCTTGCCAGGTGAAGGGCATCTTTTTTCTTTTCAAAATCAGATGAAATATTCTCTTATTTCCAACAAAGAAAGGTCCATCTCTACTTGACAATCAGCTACAGCAAAGCCACAATTTTGGAGTTATCAGAAAAGTTCCTACCAGTGTGTTATCTGCTTTTCCACCTTCCAGGGTCACTTCCAAATTGGAAAGCGCTGCTTCCACTTCATCAACCTCAGAGTCATTTGTAAAATCCTGGATTTCAGCAGACAGTGACAGTTTGCTAATGTGATACTAAAAGGAAAACAGGTGTTAGGTATTGTATAAACACAAACATTAGCCATTTGTTTGCTGAAGACAATTCCCTTGGAATATCCAGTCAGTCTCCTGCAAGGGGAGCTCCCTCCTGTGCATGGAGAATGGCGCTTCAGTGCGAATCATTGTGACCTACACGGTTAGTCATGTTCACATCTGGTTCTTCCCCATCACTACTGCAACAGGGGACAGATAAGAACTGTGAGATTAATGCCTTACACGTGGATTACAAGGAGCAATTTAAATTTGAATTCACTCTCCTTATTTTTGGCTCTTTCTTCAAAGAATTAAAGCAGTTTGAAGAATATGAAACTTTAAGTGTAGAGAACTTGGTTTGTTTCCTTCCAGAGAAAAGAGACTGAGTTTCCCATACCTGTAGTGCTGCAAAGATCAACATTTCCTCCTCCGTGCAGTCGATTTCCTCTAAGAGAATGGCCCACCTGGCTTGTTCATAGAGTTGATTTATTCGGACAGCATCATACTAGAGAAGAAAACAGACGCATGTGCATGTGTGGGGAGGGGTGTATTTATATTCTACAATACAAAAAGTTGGTAATAAGTGAGGCCATTCTCTGTTAATCAGATGCAATAAACTCTAGTTCAGGTGCTGAAGGGAATGGCTCTCTCATGCCAATTCTCCACCTCATATTACTCCCAAATTCAGAATTTTCTTTCCCAAATACTTTTCAGAGCTGCTGCTGCTTCTTTCAACCCTTTTTAGATTCCATTATTTTCTCTCTCTTTTATGACACTTCTACATGTAGTAAAAAGATCGTGAAAATGGTTTACATGTAAAGGGGAAGGGATTCCCCAAGCCAATCTGCAAACTCTGTACAATCACAAGTAGAATCTGATAGGAATTTTTTCACGAAACTTTATACAAGCTGAGTCTTAAGTCAAGAGCTGGAAGAGACAATGTTTAAATATTGCCAAGAAATTGAAAAAGGAGAACAAAGTTTGGGTAGGCATTTGTCCTCCCAGACATTAGAACATATTACAAGGCTATAGTACTTAAAACAGCATGGCATTGGTGTAGCAATTGACAAAGTGTCAATAAAGCATTATCTAGAAACAGACTTACATATGTAAATAAACTTAATATTAAATAAAAATGGCATTTTAATACAGTAAGAGAAAGAAAGAATTTAATATTATGTACAGTGTTGAAAATGTGTTTCCCATTGAAATAAAAACAATAACAACAACAACAAAACAACTTTGCACCATCCAAAAATGGATTAAAGCCTGTAAATATAAGAATGTGAACCACAAGGAGATACTATTTCACACCCACTACAATGGTAGTTCTTTAAAAGTTAAGCCTGGGCTATGATCCAGCAATTCCTACTCCTAGATCGACACACAAACAAATTGAAGGCAGCCACTCAGATGCTTATACAACAATATTCAAAATAGCCAAAAGGCAGAAACAATCCAAATGTCCAGCAACAGATGAATAAATGTGGCATGCACATACATGAAATACTATTCAGTCTTAAAAAGAAATGAAATTCTGATACATGATACAGTATGGGTGAATCTTGAAGACATTATGCTAAGTAAAATAAGCCAACCAAAAAGGGCAAACGTTCTATGATTTCACTTATATGATAGTCACAGAGACAGGAAAGAGAATAGAGGCTACCAGGGTCGGAAGGGAGGGGGGACGAGGAATTATTGTTTAAAGTGTATAGAGTTTCTGTTTGAGATGATGAGAAAGTTCCAGAAATGGACAGTGCTAACAGCTGTACACTGTGAATGTACTTAATGTTGCGAATTGTCCACCTAGAGAATGGTTAAAATAGTAAATGTCATGGATATTTTACCACATACGTTTCAAACTTGTACGTGAATGCTCATAGCAGCATTATTTATAACAGACCAAGATGGAAGTATTCCAAATGTCCACTTATTGACGGATGAATATAGTATATTCAGACAATGAAATATTCATTGGCAATACAAAGAAACAAAATATGGATGCATACTACAATGTGGATGAACTTTGAAAATACTATACTAAGAGAAAGAAACTAGTCACAAAGTACACATTTATACAATTTCACTTATATGAAATGTCCAGAATAGGCAAATCAATAGAGAGAGTAGGCTGATGGTTGCCCAGGGCTGGGAGGGTTGGAGGGAATTGAGGAGTGACCGTTAATGGGTGTATATATGAATTTCTCACTGGAGGGATGAAAATATTCTAAAATTAGATAGTGTTGATGGTTGCAAACTCCGTGACAATATTAAAAACCACTGAACTGTACATATTAATTGTACATATGTATGGTATCTCAAAAACTGTTATGGAAAATCAAAACACAAAATCTAAAACCATTATTGTAGGGGATGCCAAGAGCCAGACGACCTCTGGCTGCAAGATGATTTGCCGCTGGGGGGTGGACAATTCGTCCACAGGTGCTCAAGGTGGAGAAAGAGCCCCCACGCACGCACGTAGTCATCATCTAAAACTCCCTCACCTGTCTTGTACTGTCTCCATAAAAGGCTACTGGGGAGGTTGCTCGGGGCTACCCTGCAATCAGGTTAGCCCGCCTCCTGCAAGCCTGTACTTCTAATCCGCGTCACACCTGATTCCTTCCTGTGGCGATTGAGACCAGGGCCATAGGGGCCATAGGGGCTGCGACACATTATTAGAAGGAAAGATGAGACAATACTTTCTATAATTTGTATAAGTTTTAAATAGGAAAAGCCTTTCTGGGCAAGACAGGAGGTCTAGAAGTTATAATGCATAGGATGGACTTGATAGCCTAAAATGAAACATTTTGAATGGTAATACATTCCTTAAAGCAGGTTATAATTTTACAAGACAGAAATTGAAATAAAATATTTACAATAAATATGAAAGATAATATCCATCACATACAAAGTGATCCTATAAACAATCCTACAAAGTGATCCTATAAACACACACACACACATCAATTTGCATGTGTGAGTAGGACTGTGGCATAAATACCCAGGGGTGGATTTGCTGGGTCAAAGCTATATAGAATTGTAACCCTGATAGATATTGCCAAATTGCCTTCCACAGGGGATAGATTAATTTGTACTTTGACCTACAAGTAGAATATGAGAGAGCCTGTTTCTCAATATAAATGATATAAAATATATATAATTCAGGAAATAAATAAATATAATTAATTCAATAAATTTGGGGGAAATATATAAACAGGCAATTTATAGAAGAAACCAAATGGCCATATAAACATTGGAAAAGACGCTTAACATCGCCGATAGAGAATTTAAACTGAAACAAGGTAACGCAATTTCTATTTTCCTATCATATTCTCCCAAATGATAAGAATTGAAGAATGGTTGATACCAGTGAGGACGTGGGAGTATTAGTAATTTCACAGATGTGGTTAGTAGGAAGGCAATTTGGCGGGATCTTTCAGTATTCTTTTGCCCTTTGATAAGCATGTCCAGAGTTACTATTCTAAAGAAATGCAAGAATTCATCAAAGAAACTCTTCCAAGAATGTTCATCACACCTGGGTTCTGATAAACTGTGGTTTAGCCTTTTGGGGGATTATTTTGCAGTGATTAAAAAGTGAGTCAAACTTACATATATTGACAATATATTACATATATTGAAAGACAGTCACAAGGCATTGCAGAGGAAGAAGAAGTAGCGACAGAGCAAATAAGTCATGTATTTGTAAAGGGAATACAAAATCTTGAAAATCGGTTCCCAAACACGTTTAGAAAAGAGTGCAAAACAGTCTGCAAGGATGGTGAGTCGTGAAGCCATCCACTGTGACTGCTGATTAGGACCAAGGCCACAGTAAGGAACTATTTTCTGCTTTTACTCTAAATAATTCCTTTTTATGTTTGATTTTTAAAAGATTAATTTTAATTAGCGTAAAATACACGCAAGATTTGCTCTCTTAACCATTTTTAGGTGCGCCATTAAGCACATTCAGACTGTTGTGGACCATCCCTTCCACCCATCTCCAGACCTCTTTTCATCTTGCAAAACGGAAATTGTGCACCTGTAATACAGTAACTCCTATGTTTGATTTTTGTTTTTACAATGAGTGTACATTTTCCTGTATCCTTTGGAAAAAAATGTTGTGGAAGACATGGGGGAGGAGTAGAAAGCTATTGTTAGGACCTAAGTGGATTTAGCACTGGCTGATTAGCATCTGTTTATTTTTGCCTTTTGCATTAACCTTATGAATACTAAGAAGAGAGGTGACAGGGAACGTAAAGACCCAAAGGAAGCCAAGACCAGCAAGCAAGGCCATGATTAGCCAAGTGGAAAATGAGCCTGTGGCACACAGGCACCCTCCTTCTCAGCTTTTTTTTTTTTCTTAAATCAGGTCCACGTGGGGATCGAATTCATGACCGTTGGTTTGCGAGGCCAGCGCTTTAACCACCCAGCTGTGGCACTCGGCTTACTTCCCAGCATTTCTAACTGCTGCAGGAAAGGAAAACAAATGCAAAGCCAAGTGCGTGGTATGCAAGAGGCGGGGACAGTAGGAATCTTAAGAGAGTCTGGTTTTGTTTTATGAAGTTAGCCAGGTGTCACAGAACATCTCAGGAGCTGGCTCAGAAGCCTCCAAAGACAAATGAAGACTAAACCCACACGAGAATGCTGACAGCAGCATTATTCCTAACAGTCACAAACTGGAAACAATCCAGTGTTCCGCAGCTGGTGAACAGGGGAGCGAAGTGTGGTACGTCTACACAGTGGGCTACCACTCAGCAGTAAGAGAGCTTGCACTGGCCAGGCATGGCGGCACACACCTGTAGTGTCAGCTACTCAGGATCCCGTGAAGGTAGGAGTTTGAGGTTGCTGTGAGCTATAATGACGCCACTGCACTCTAGCCTGGGTAACAGAGCGAGACTTGTGTGTGTGCGCACACACACACACACACACACATCAATTTGCATGTGTGAGTAGGACTGTGGCATAAGTACTCAGGAGTGGATTTGCTGGGTCAAAGCTATATAGAACTGTAACCCTGATAGATATTGCCAAATTGCCTTCCACAGGGGATAGATTAATTTGTACTTTGACCTACAAGCAGAATATGAGAGAGCCTGTTTCTCCACATTCTTGCTAAGATAGCATGTGAAACATTTTGACCTTTGTACTATAAACCATTCTAGTTCCTGTTCTGAGCTTTACCTGTTTATATTCTTTGTCTATTAGTCTATGGGGCTGTTGGTCTTTTTATTATCGATTCATAGGAACTCTTTATCTAATAGGGAAACTGACTTTGTTTACAGTATGTTTTACAAAGACTTTTTTTTACCTGGTTCATAGTTTTGGGGGGAATAATTAACATTTTTGTTTTTTTATTAAAATCTACCAATATTTTCTTTTATGGTTCTGGATTTTGCATTTTTTGAGTATGTTATTTTTGCAATATTGTATTCTAGTATTTTATATATCTCAGATTTTAATCAGCACCTATTTCTTCAGATGTATGGCCTGTACATATCTCTCCTCTGCAAGCCAGAGAAACTTCCCAGACCTCACTGTAGAGTACAGCTCCTATTTGTAAGGCGCCTTGTATGTCTGAAGTGGTTCCATGGTGCTGAGTTTTACTCCTCTTTTTCTTTTTTGAGACAAGGTCTCACTCTGTTGCTAAGGCTAGCGTGCAGTGGGGCATGATCACAGCTCACTACAGCCTCAAACTCCTGCCTAAATTTTAAAATTAATTTGTAGAGACAAAGTCTTGCTATGTTGCCCAGGCTGGTCTCGAATTCCTGGCCTCTAGCCCTCTTTCTACCTTGGTCTCCCAAAGTGCTGGTATTTCAGGCAGGAGCCACTGTGCCCATCCTCTTTGCTCTTCTTGATTTGAGTTTAGATTACATGAAAACATGAGCTACATCTTAAATTTTTACATTCCCCTTTATCTACCCAGCACACAGTAGGAGTTTTAAACTTGGTTTTATGTATAGTACTTATAATTTGGAGAGGGGAGTGAGTATTGTCACAACTTTAAAGTGATTGGGGATCCCTGTTCTTGTGCCCTTAAGCTGTGTCCTACTAGCCCAATTCTGCCTGTCACTTTTGGGTTGACAGCCATTGTTTGTATGTTAGATTAAAACAGGGTTTACTTTACAGGCTATGAAGAGAGAACTCCTAACCCACAGGCAAGCTGGAGGCCAAAGAGCCTAAGACAACAGTTCTTGTGACCCTCACCTTCAGTGTCCTTGTCCCCTCCTGGACACTGTTTTTTAGACAAATACATATTTAATGCTATTCCTCCCTGCTTGATATTGCTTCTGATGACCTACTATGGCTGGATTCTGTGCTTGTGAAGGCACTTCCATGTTCCTGACAATTTTTTCCAAGATAGGTGACTGAGCTGTACTCTCTTGAGCTTAAGTTCAATTCTGAAGCAGGAGATTCACGTAGCAAGGAAATTGCTGGCAGGCTTCCCAAGGGCCCGGGGATCCTACCCCTAATTAGATACTGGAATTAGGAGAGTGTGGCTTTCACAGCATCTTTGACTTTCACTGCATCTTTGTAGCACGTGCAGGTGGGGTGGGCAAAGATAGTACTGGATATGTGTCCTCTGTTCCAAAGGATTTGGTAGGAAAAAAAAACCTGACAGATAACGGTCACAACTCACTTAGAGGTGTGAGTCCTGCACTTGTGCAGAACTCAGCTGTGGCTCAAAGAAAGGAATCGCTCATGTGACCCAGAGAAGGGTCACATGTGACCTAGAAGTGGTAGGACTTAAGTGTGGTCTTGACATTGGGGTTCTGAATCTGAGTTCCTTGGACTTAGGAGTCTGAATACAGAGAGTCCCTGAATTCAGAAGAGGAATCACTATGTCTTCATTTGCCACAACTTACAATGGGAAATTTTTCCTCCCAAGATGAATGTACTTGTCACTCTGTGATACCCAGAACCACAAACGTTTTCCTGCTGTATCACAACTACTGCTGCTATCTGTGATACTCACATACATCACTACTTTGAAATTATTGCAGTTAGGAGGTCTGTTACCAGGTTTTATTCATTCAAATAACTAAATATATGTCACCACATTATTATATCCATTTTGAAAAAGGTTTTGATTATTACAGTTTAATATAACTGTTCTTTTTTTTCCTTTGGAGACAGAGTCTTGCTCTGTCGTCTGAGCAGAGTGCAGGGGCATTATCATAGGTCACTGCAATCTCAGACTCCTGGGTTTAAGCATCCTCCTGTCTCAGTCTCCCCAAATGCTAGGATTACAGGCATGAGCCACTGCAACCGGTCAACTGTTTTGTTTTGTAATCCTATATATTTTATTTCATTAATTTGAAAACATTAATATATGATAGTTGGGATTTTTAGCACCTGGCTTAGTTTTTGGCATATAGTAGTGACTTAATAAGTAACAGATAGGGCACACATTTGAATAGATAGGATGGGACCCAATTACTGACTTAGTAATTACAAAATTCACAGACATATTTCATTTATCTATTATCTGTTTTCAGGAAAAAAATGTAAGGTTAGCATAGTCAGCATACAAGAAGACACTTACATTAATGGAGGATTAAGCAAGGAAGACTGAAGTTCAATCAGAAATGAGGCTTAAAATGAAACCTCAGAGAATGTTTGGATATGGTTCTAGCTACCAATATAAAAAAGAAAACCTGGACAGTTGTATAATTCACAATATATTTAAAAAAAACCAAACAAACCCAAACCGAACCTATGGTTTAGGAAAAGCAGTATAGTAATTTCTTCTAAAGGTTTCATTAGGGAAAAGTCAAAACCTGCCCTTTTGGCATGAGGCATTGGAGGTTATGCTTCCAAATGCAGAGCCAGGCCCACAGGCCTTAACTTGGGTCTAAACCAAGGACGGAGCAGGAGCTTCTCCAGAAATGACAAAGGATAAGGTTTATCTTGAGGAAGACACTAATTAGGGAAACAATGGGAGCCAAGGTGGGCCTCTGGTGACCAGGCTTGTGGGAACACCGCTGGAGATGAGGAAAGGGTCCATACCATCCAGAAGGCTGAGCGAGGCTCCTCTGCGAACAAATGCCTGGAGGTAAATGGAAAGGAGCAAAGAGCAGGAAACCAGGATGGGAACAGCACACCAAGGTCACCGTGTGCACTCCAGGATGGGTCACTCAGTTTATATTTTTAACACTGGCCCATTTGACTGCTGGCCACGACTCTCCGAAAGGACTAGTGAGGACCAAGGAAGGGGCAGAAGGTCAGAGGACCTGTCTCACCCCTCAGTAGCGTCCTGATAAACTTCAGGCGGGAGTTGTGCACTGCAAATGTTAGTGATCAGCTGGGGGCTCTGTCTGCATAGAGGACCCCTTCTTCTCATTACTCTTCATTGTGGAGAAGAGTCCTGTGTGCATTTAGTTAAGCCTGGCTTGTTCATGAGAACCTGCCCTTAACCTTGGCCTCTCAACTCCTTCCTTCCTAAGCATGAAGGACTCCAGCTCTGTGAGCTGCTCTCTTCACGCTTCTTCATTTCTGCATACAGGGGCAAGGCAGGTCGAGCTGGCCACGAAGACAAGACCTCTAGAGACTCCTGCTAACTCCTGCTCACTAGAAACCAAAAGATAAAAATCCCGAGGCCAGGACATATTTATCAGTGTAACCCAGTAGAGTGAAACGTGAGATCATAACCATGAATCCTATTCTCAATAACCAAACGACTCAAGATTATACTTCCATTCACTCACTTAAAAAAAACAGAGAAACAGAAAGTTTCTTACTTTAGGATTCAAGTCAAAGAAAGTGTAGTATTTAAATCGTAACAGCAGTTGGTCATCCTCTCGGATGCCTTGTTCCATGAGGGAGTGAGAGGAATCCAGCCAGCTAGAAAACAACAGGATGAGTTTTAAAAGCCACGAAATTTTCCATATACATCCATCGTGTTATTACGGTATATACTATACAGTACATTACATAGTTATTTATATCCTTAAACAAAGTCAGAGTAAATAATACAAGTTGAGATCTCCCATTTGAAAATTTGAAATCCGAACTGCTCTAACACTCAAGAGTTTTGGGGCCCTAACATGGATGCTGAAAGGAACTGTTCACTTTAGCATTCTGAATTTCACATTTTCAGATGCTTAATCTGTGAGTACACTGTAAATATCCTTTAAAATCTGAAAATTTTTGAAAAAAATATAAAATGCAAAATACTTCTGGTACCAAGCATTTTGGATAAGGGATATTCCACCTGTATAACCACAAGTCATTTAGCATATAACAAAAGCTTATCTTTGCATTTTATCTTAGCGTTTTCAAAGTGCTTTTATATTTTTTCTCAGTGACACTTTAACATAACCCAGGGCAGTTCTTACTATGTATTGTCTGTTTTACAGACAAAGACACTTAGTGGGAGGGACACTGGATTAACCTTTCAAGGTGACAGGCCTGGAGGGAAAGCCAGCATGTGAGTCTGTGCCTCCTGACTCTATGCACTGTCTCTCCCCCGTGCTAGGCGGCTCACCCCCCAAACCAGCTTTTATTGTCCAGAACTTTCTGTAATGAGGGAAATAGGCATATCTGTGCTTATATGTTAGCTCTTAGCCACATGTGGCTGTTGGCTTTAAATGTTGGCACATTTAAAGATGGTTAGTGCCACATTTTAATTTGATTTATTTAAATTCAAATTTAAATTTAAATATCCACATGTGGCAGTGGTTCCTGTACTGGAGAACACAATTCTAGAATGGAGAAATAAAAGTTGGGTCTTAGGGAGAGTTGAGAAAGTGGAGATTAAGTTAACACCCAATGGGTGGTGCCTGTAGCACAGTGGTTACAGCGTAGGCCACATGTACCGAGGGTGGCCGGTTCAAACATGGCCCGGGGCCAACTAAGCAGCAATGACAACTGCAATGAAAAAAATAGCTGGGCATTATGGTGGGCGCCTGTGGTCCCAGAATCGCTTAAGCTCAAGATTGGAGGTTGCTGTGAGCTGTGATGCCACAGTATTCTACCGAGTCGTGATAGCTAGAAACTCTGTCTCACAAAAAGAAAAAAAAGTTGACACCCAAATAAGAAGGGGATGAGTGTCATCCAGTACCACTGAATAAAAATGGCTTGCACTTCTATTATATTAGGCTCTGTGGGGGAACAAGGATGATAAGACGTAACTGCCGTCCTAAAGGAGTTGACAATCCAGTGGGGAGGCCAAGCCTCATAATAAAGGGACAGCATGACACTGGAGTGAGCAGAATTGGGAGTGGCCGATTCTGAATATGGATGCTTGAGAAGGACACAGCGTGTGGGGGAGCCTTAAAGTACAAGCAGGACTGGCCAGTAGGCAGCAGGGGTGGCCCTGCAGAGGAGGCGGTGACAGAAAGCACGAGTGTCCACTGGGGCAGGAAGGGGACAGAGAGCACAGGATTATGCAGAGACACCCACTGGGACCAGATCTTCTAGGGACTTGAATGCTGGTAACAAGTTCAATTTTATTTGGTGGGCAGGGGGCAACAAAAGAAATGGCAGTTTAAGAAATAGTTCAGGCACGTTTTCTGAGACCATTTCAAACAGAGCTCAAGGACTTGCTTATCACAACACCGAAGGAGAGAGGGGGGTGTCCCACAAAAGACGATGTGAGCCAGGTGGGCTCCCCGGGGTCTCCCCCACGGACCCAGGGGACTAACACACTTACAAACCACTCTACATACCATAAAATACACTTTTTGCACCTGCATTAGCAAAGAATTAGTGTACACAGATGGTATTCCACTGAGTTACCCCAACGTGTACATTTTGTGACACTTTAAATGTACTGAAATGACCAACGGCTGTAAAACCCCTGTGTTGCTAAAATCAGTGCTGACTTTTGATAATGAAATACAACCCCCAGGCCCGCCACCTTGGAAATTAAACCCTCCCACCTCCATCTCTCTTACTATGTCAGCACCAGTTCAGAGAAGGAAAAAGAATCAAGTCCTTACCCTGCGTTAAGCTTCGCCTTCTCAACCAGAGACCGAGGCTGGTACATATCGGCAAGCGCTTCTGGTGACAAGGGAGGCTGGCTAAACGCGAGGATGCTGCAGTTTTGCTCAGTCAAAGGGCTGTCACTGAACCAAGTCATGGTGGATGACACTGGTGTTCCATTGATGGGGTCGTACATAGGGGTCATGGTTTTACTGTATAAACCAGAACTTACTGCAAGGCAAGGGGGGGGGCAATGCTGTGTTACGAGATTCAGGGGCAGAACTCTTCAGCAAAGTACTAATTACTTACACTAAAATGAATTTTGACTTTACGTATGTATGTATGTATTTACTTATTTATTTTGAGACAGAGTTTTGACTCTATTGCCCTGGGTAGAGTGCCATCATAACTCACAGCAACCTCAGACTCTTGGGCTCAAGCAATCCTCTTGTCTCAGTCTCCTGAGTAGCTGGGGTACAGGTGCCTGATATGATGCCCAGCTAGTTTTTCTGGTTTTAGTAGAGATGGGGTCTCACTTTGCTCAGACTGGTCTTGAATTCCTGAACTCAGGCAATCCACCCATCTCAGCCTCCAAGAGTAGGAGGATTACAGGCATGAGCCATTGCACCAGCCGAATTTTTACTTTAAATGTTTATACCATTTAAGATAATATGAGTTGGTCAGATGGGGTGGCTCACAGCTGTAATCGTAGTACTCTGGAAGGTTGAGGTGGAAGGATCCCTTGATCTCAGGAGATCGAGACCAGCCTGAGCAAGAGGGAGATACTGTCTCTACTAAAAATAGAAAAAATAGCTGGATGGTTAGGTGGGTGCTTGTAGACTCAGTTACTCAAGAGGCTGAGGCAGGAGAATCACTTAAGCCCAAGAGTTTGGGGCTGCTGTGAGCTATGAAGATGCCAGCACACTCCAGCCTGGGCAACAGAGGATGTCTCAAAAAAAATAATAATAATACAAGTCAGATGGTGGAGAGATTAGTAATAGACAGGTAAAGGTCTCATCTGTATATTTAGCTTTTTGAAAGCTCAAGATCTTAGATATATAAAACTTCTAAAAATGAACACAGACAAATGTTGAGGACCATCTCTCTTCTAATAATTCAAAGTTTTCCTATTTCAGCAGGAGTCTCAGTGCTGTTAGAGGCCTGGAGGCTTCATGGAATGCACACTCATGTTTCAGACACCTCCTGAAATAAATAGCAGCCTTCACTGATTTTAAGAATCCAAAAGATGGATTTATAAATCATCTGGCTGTAATTTGCATAAGCAAAGTACAAATACCACTTTTGTTCCTTACGTTGGAATATACTATGCAAGAAAGCCCTCAGTCTTGCAAGCGAGCTAGATATTTGATTATTTTGATATGAAAAGGGTATATGAATTCAGGAAAGAATCAAAGATAAAATCAGGAAGAAGGAAGAATATTTGGGTGGTTTAACTTATCTTTTTTCTAAGTATCACTCTTCTATCCCAAATTCATGGTCAGTTGTACTAAAATTCTGTACTCATCACCAACATAAAATACATAATTAAAATAATGAGTTATTAAGCATACCTGTTGAGAAAAAAGTCTGAGATAAATTTCTGTTAGTTGTAAATTTAACTGCCTCTCTTTTCCACGTCACGTCAATCTTGCAGTTTATCTCTCTATCGTTTGGAAGAGGCTAGAGAGAAGCCTATTTTCCCCTTGGGTTCTATTCTATATTCACAAATTAAAATCACCAAACACCTGTCACCGATCTTACCTGGTGACCCTGAAATCGTTGGAGAACTCTCCAGGTTTAGAACATCTTCAATGACGGGTTCCTTATTATTTTTGTCTTTCTTCTTCTTCTTCTTAAAATAGTCACCAGAAGGCTTTAGCAAGGAAAGTTCTTCTGATCTTCTAATATCTAGAAATTAAACAACAAATGAAAAGAAAAGAATGTCAGAAGAAAATGCCTTCTAAGGCTCAGCATCCTTTTGGGCATTTGATACCATTTCTCAGGAAATGTCCACGCAGTAAACGGAGCTAGACTGGATCCCATTTGAAGAAATCCAAGGCGGGAGCAGCCCCCCAGTGGGTGGGGGGAGAATATAGTAGAGGGAGATTTAGTGTAATAAAATTTCTAGTTTTTAAAAAAGTATTATGCAAATACTTCAGACATAACCAAAGCAAAAGGAACCGCACAATGCCCCTTTCCTCTGCTCCCCAAGGGGCTCTGACCACTCTGCTGCTCTTTTATTTAGTTACCACCCACTTTTTCCTATCTCCCTCCCTTCCTTACATCTTCCTTCCTTCTTCTTCCTTCCTCTTTTCTTCCCTTTGTCTTTCCTTTTTATTAGTATTTTAAACAACCATCAAGACCCCTCACCCCTTTTTAAGGACCGGAGATCCTGAAACTCCTCTCACGCGGCCCCCACAGCTCATTTCATCCTCGTAGCAGACACCCCCCTCCCTGTCCATCTCATCTTGGCCCTCATTTCAGCACATCCTGACCTGGCTTCCAGTGGCATCTAGGACATGTGTCTCTGCCGGACGCCTGCTCTGCTGGCCAGCGAGAGTCTCCATTGACCACAGCCCCCCCACGTAGCAGTCCACAGATCCAGGGAAATGAATGTTCTGCACTCGCAGCCTCAGAGACTGAGGAGGGTGGTGCCTGACCACTCCGTCCTGAAGCTGTGTCTACGCTCTCTCCCAGAGGTCCCCAGCTGCCGAAGTGTGACTTGGTTGGTGACACACTCGTATTGGTGGCCTTCTCTTCCCAGTCTCACTTCCCCATCTCCACCAGTTTTTCCCGGCATCACCTCTTAAATAGACTATTTGTACTTTAATCCTGACCTCAGCTTCTGCTGCTGGAAACCTAAGCTATGATAGTCCCCATTGCCCCCATTCATTGACTATATTTATAATTGCGGATCAGAACGGCAGGTAAATATTAGCCGCACTGAGCAGCTCTCATCCCAAGTAGAAGCAAAAGCATGTGGATATTTTAGGGCAGTGACTTTCAACCAGTGTGCCTGAACATTTTAAAAGATGATTAATTAAATTATTTTTGAAAGAAATTCAACGCACACAGTAACTTATTTGTTTTACTCTCTTTTTCTTTTATGAACATAATTTAAATGTGCTGCTGAAGCTTAACGATAGGTTCAAGTGTGCTGTGAGATTAAAAAAAAAAAGGCTGAAAAACACTGTTTAGGGCCTCCGGGCAGCTTTGCTGGAGGTAAGGGCACTGACTGTGTGAGCCCCTCCTCACACTTCCTCCACACGCTGCTGAGTGTCAAGATGCAGCCTGGTAGTTTGGTTTGACTCTCTCCCCAATAACAAGGATATCTGATTAACAGACTGTGACACACACCGATGACCATCCCAAATGTGTCATTTATGTACAAAAGTTGGTAAGGAAACAGAAGTTCCAGGATAAGCACTACAAACAAAAACAAAACACTTCACATCTCCAAGCCCAAGATTATTGTCTTTTCTGTGTTTCAAAGGAAAGCCATTATACTGCTAGATTTGATGTCACGTCAGTTGACTAGATATAAAAAAACATGATTAGAAATGCCAAATTAAGACCTTACAACTACTGTGAAGACACAGTTGGAAAAAGAGAGCATTTGACTGCTTTTGTTTATTTTGAAATCTCAAGTCTTGGGCCCCAGGTATAATATATAATTCCAGTCCACTGTGATGTGTGGAATATACAATTTTATTTAGTCATTACTTTGTTTTCAAAGCCTCCTTAGAATATTACTGAAAACGAGATGTCTTTGTGCTTGCCACCTGTTTACCATGCACCGTGGACATGACTACAATTCGTGTTCCATTCATTTGTACACTCAGCAAACAGTTATTTTGCAGATATTGGGATAGAGTTGCTGGCCAATGCTGGCATTCCCAATCCTACTGACACATCTTCCCTTTTTCCGTGCCACTGGTCCCCTTTTAACATCCTATATTCTTTTCTTATTTATTATATTTATTGTTATTATCTGTCTCTGCCTGCCAGGTAGGCAGGGATTTTAGCTATCGCCATCTCTAATGTATCCTTAGCACTCACCACAAGGCCTGGCCCATAGTAGGTGCTCAATAAATATTTGTTGAATGAGCGAATGAAGCAGTCTACAGTTTAGTGGAAAAGATAGATTGCTTACTTAGATATGATCTATTCTGTATTCAAATGTGGACTTTTGGCTTTGGAACCAAAGATTATACATGTACATTTAAAAAATATATAACCTTCATGAAGAAATGGTTTGCGTAGTATCCTATAAGCTATAGGATATGAATCCACAAAGAATTAGGTGTAAATTCACAGTTAAGTATATTTTTCTGCTTAAAATAAACTTCATGAGTTGATTTTTATAGACAGAGTTACAATAGAACCTCCCTAGTTGACCACCTCCCTCTGTTGACCACCTCTTTAAGTTGATCTAATTTTTATAGACCAGACAAGCACCACGTGTACATATCCGTACACTAAGCCTCGTTCCTTACGTTAAACACCTCTGTATGTTGACTAGTCTGTTACAGTCCCTTGGGTGGTCACCTGGAGGTTCTACTGTATTTATTACTTATCTACTGTATTTATTTATCAGGTGTTAATGAAGCAATAGGCATTTTAACACCATTATCTAAAAAACAGAAAAGACACAGCTCCATGGTGATGAAGGATTTAGTGGAACTCTTTTATCGTTTACCATACTGTATAATAGTGTATAATAGTGATTAAAGTATAGTTTGGAGAAATAAATTTGGGGCTTCATCTTCATGGTTTATCTATTTACAATTCTCTTTTGAAATACAGTAGAACCTCTATAAGTTGGCCACCGAAGAGACTGGAACAAATGGGTCAACATACAGAGGGGGTCGACATAAGGAACTAGGCCTACTGAACTGATACGTACATGTGGTGCATGTCCCGTCTAGGAAAATTAGGTCAACTTAAGGAGGTGGTCAGTGGAGGGAGGTGGTCAACTGTGGAGGTCCTACTGTAGTTTCACACTTTGTAGAAATGAATCTTCTGCCAATAGTGTTTTGGTTTTACAGCCATTTGGTTTTACCTCACGTACATGGCTGTGCCCAGGACTGGGCTGGAATGTGTGTGTCCCAATAAGGGAGGGTTCTGTAGCCAATTGCTTGGAGCAGGCAGGGGGCACACGTGTCCTCCTTTGCAAAGAGTGTACAGGGCACAGGGCCCTCTCCAGGGTACTCACTTAGGGTTCTGCAGATGTCGCTGACAGCTTTAAAAACCACGGCTGAGAAACTGACTCGCAGTCTCACCGTCTTCATGTTAGGCAGGCGGAGACGAAGCATTTTATGCTGAGGAGTGAAGAGAAGCTTCGCATCTGCCTGGACCCCACATTTGTCCAGTGTCCAGTGGGTCTTCAGAAGCCAGCAGCGCTTCTGCTCCCACCACAGAGCAAAGTCTGACCAGTCCTGAGATATGTCTGCAGAAATTGAAAACACAGTTCAGTCAAACGAGACACAGCCTGGCCTGGAGGGTCAGTTTCACCATGTGCAAACCCTGAGAGCAGCACCTGGTCTTCAGCTCCCCACCTCCCTTTGCAATTCAATCCCACAGTTCCTGGCCTCTCTCCCAAGTTTCCAAGGTGAGGCGGAGAGAAAACAGTGATTGAACCTTCCCATCATTTACAAGTAAACACTGTGGAAGGAGCAGAAACATGAAATTTTTGTACATGACAAATGCCAAAATTCTCATCCCTAAAATCCCCCTAGGCCATGGCTTTTTCTGGGAAGGCCAAAATCATTCGATGTGATTCAGTCCGGATGATTTCTCTCATGATATATCCTGATATCCCACTGTATCATGAGAGAGTGTCGATAGCCCCTAATCAAAGTCCACACAGGTGTGACAGAACTGGCATTTCACGGTTCTCTGTAATGCCCAACTCTTAGCAGTCCCACCATGCCCCCAATTTCCAAACTGTCTACGTTGAAATCAGAGTCGAATAATTTCTCCTCTCAATGCTAGCATCAGCTTTTCATCTTTCCCCTCCTTTCATGCTGGCATGAAAGTCGAATCTTTGTTACATCCATGTTGTTGTTCATATTCTATCTTTTATCTTGCAAAAGTAAGAGCCACCAGTCTATTTGTTGACTTGTTCTTTTATAAACAGGTTTCCCTCTTTTTAAATCGGGGAAACCTTTTGTTTAATGCCGTTAATAGAAGTATAAATTTGTACAACTGTTTTAGAAAATCCTATGAGGCTTGGCGCCTGTGGCTCAAGTGGCTAAGGTGCCAGTCACGTACACCCAAGGTGGCGGGTTGGAATCCAGCCCGGACCGCCAAAGAACAATGACGGCTGCAACCAAAAAATAGCCAGGTG